TGGTTTTCAAACTTTGGAGTATGTTGGAATAGTGTGGTCAGAACTACATTTACCTTGTTTTACTTTCCTTGGCTAAAAAAAGTATTATTGATGTAACCGCCAGCTCCACCCCCCACCCCATAACACAAGTCAGGATAGTGACTTTACTGTTCACTCCCCACAATCCCTACCACATCATAGGTCAGGATAGTGACCTAACTGCCAAAGCCCCACCCCCACAATCCCCCCCGTCCCCCAAACCCCACCCCATAACAGAAGTCAGGAAATGAATACAGTAGAAAATATTTTGTACATTCTATTGGCATTCAAGAATTTATTTAAATAAAATTTGACTCAAAAAGTAAAGATAAATGGGACTATATATAAAAAAAAAACATCCATTCACAGCATTGGAATAAAAGCAGTGTTGTAAAATATAGCCTTCTCCCATTTTGGTTCACCGCCAAGTTGATTAATCAGAACAACCAACACAGCTCTGAACTTGATCAAACTTTATGGACCCAAGTAACGGTCGTATCATGGTCGATCTGTAATTAAATGTAATTATTCGACCGTACCAACAACACAATCCATGTGGTGGATGGTTCTGGCATTTTTTTTCCTTTTGCAATCCCCAACGGTTTCATTCGATTATTTTTGTCTGGCTGGAATCATGGTTGTACATTATTTAGCGACACGCTAGAAGCAAATGATATTGCTGTTTTTTTTTAATTAACGACCCGTTCATTCAGTAAACGGAGCGAGTAATTATGGGGTTGTATCAAACTGCTGAGCAAGCGTTAGGTTTTTTTTTTACAATCTACAATTTCTATGTTATAAAAATATGTAAAAACGATAAAAATATCAGTTTACATATATTTTACCTAGATTTTAAATATCAGATTTAAAGTGTTTGAATCTGCTATCTTTAGTTTGTGAGTAAGTCTATGGGGGTGTATGGGATGGCGCGGTCTAGTGGTAGAGCAATAGACTGCTAACCCGAAAGTCTCGAGTTTGAATCCGGGTTCAAGTCAGTAGAATATCGCTGAGTCCACCAAACTCTGATGGGTACCTAACTCACGCTGGGGAAAGTAAAGGCGGCTGGACATAGTGCGGACAACGCTATTACTTCATACGCCGAGGTCACAGAAACAGGTGAGCTCTACTTCGATTGCCCCCAGAGTTTCTTCCAGGCATCTCTTCGGGGGGCTCTAACCCCCCCCCTTGAAAATATCAAGTGCCCCCCCCCCCCCCCACTGATTGCCCCGTGGACGGTCATGTTCGAAGAGGGAACCTTACATACTAGAAGGAGCGGGCCAAGAGGAGAGAAAAACGCAGCGCCATTCAATACATAAAAAACAAAAAAAGTAGGTTGTTTCTATTTTTATTCATACAAAACACATTAATGAACTCCAGCTTTTAGAAGTACATCACAACCAAAACACAACAAACAACATATTTTATAGTTTATGTACATATAATACAGGTTAGGTATTCGAAATATATTGAGTACAAAAATCTAAAATTGAATTATTATAAATTATTGCTTATGCGATACAGACATAAACAAATACTGTCATGCTATGTTATATATGTTGACATTAAATGACAATGTCTTAAACTTCTGATTGTTGATATTTTCCAAAGGCGAGAATACTATATTGATGTATCAGTATATTGATTTTTGAGCATCTCATGATTTGTTTTGATTGGTTGAAATGAGTTTCAATCGATTTCTTTGACCGCAATTTCTGGACATCAAGTGGTCAGATTTAGGTTGCATTGATACACCTTGATTAACATTGGGTTTTTTTTAGTTACCTTTTCCACAATTCATTAATTCTGCTTCGATCAGTACATGTTTTTCACTTAATTTAATTTCTATTTTCTCTTAATTTAATTATATTACATTTGTAACAAGATGCAAACTTTTGGCATATATAACATTAATTATATATATATATATATATATATATATATATATATATATATATATATATATATATATATATATATATATATATATATATATATATATATATATATATATATATATATATATATATATATATATATATATATATATATATATATATATATATATATATATATATATATATATATATATATATATGGTTTGGAATGTCATAGTATAATGAACACCAGGAATGTCAAGGAAACAATGTAACATTTGTTGAGCTGAAGCAGGCCTATATTTATCTCTTTTTATAAAACACATTATATACAATTTTAAAAAAAAATCCAATTACACATCGAATGAGAAAAAAAAACTTGTAATATTTTAGTTTTAAAAAGTCGTTGTTTTTCAAACCCGAGATTGTGGTTTCAAATGCAACCCACAACTCGCGAATGCTATAATTAACCTTTTTACGTCACTTCCTTGTTACCGTCCGTGCAATTACTTTTGTCTCGCCCCTCCCACATCCGGGTTTTCCCCCCATCTTGAGTAGTTATTTTCCCAGCAATTATTTCTGGTTGGGAACAGTGTCTGAACATTATATGAAAAACGAATTTGATGATGTATTTTGACCTTTTTTCGAAGGCAGAGATGACTGAATGGTGAGACAATTATAATATTCGATATTTACTGATTTAGAATTAAGATACTAAATGCAGATTTTAATTATTCTGAAACATATTATCTCCAGAAAAGTGGTGTGTCTGAGCTAATGGTTCAGACGGATATCTCAAAAAATTAGAAATATTTTTTTTTAAATAAATGGGTTTATTACCATAGCAACACAAGCACTCTGCAAAACTTCGCGTTCGAATAGCACTATAGAAGTGCGCATCTATTTTTGGTGAAACATTTTAATTATTTTTAAAAACAAATTAATTAAATCACGAATAAAAAGTAATTAAAATTGGAGCTTGAGATCCATTAATGAAGTCGCGAGAATAAATGGCTCATTATGTTCCTCGCGTGAAAGACCGTACATATTCTTTCTAATACAAAAATAGCCTATATTTTAGCACTCACATTAAAAACAATAAACTTGCGGATTTAGCAAATATATTAACACTCTGGCAATTTAAATACAGTAAATGCAAATGTTCAAGAGATTTATAAATCCACATTTCAACACAATCTGTTTAATAACGCTTCAAACATTACTACATCACTGAACAAATAAATCGATACACTAAATCTGGATCGCTGATCAACTCATTTCCATCGGTACTTTTCTATGAGGTAGGGGTGGGGCGTTGGGGGGGGGGGGGGGGGGGGGAGGGGGGGAGTTCAAACAAGTCCCGCTTTAATCAAGCGTAACTGTAGTCGACTTCTTGTTTTCTATCGAGTAAATTTACACCCATCAGCCTTTAATACTCACGGTGTGATGGTGTTTGAGTGCGCATGCGTTAGTAAATTTGGTTTAGCCGTCGTGTGTGTGGAGGCTGAGTACTTGCAGTTTTTAACCCCCATCGCGGTTACAGTTAGCAATAGAACGAGAGAGACGGGGTGAAAGGGGGTGACAGTGTACTTAGAGTTAATGCCCTTAGATGTTTTAAAAGTTTCAACACAAATGTATGGACATTGATATTTACACGTTAATTAATTCTCCCTTGCATCGTCCAGTATACATATGGATATTCATACGCGCATACACAGGCAAGCAAACACACGTATATATATATATATATATATATATATATATATATATATATATATATATATACATATATATATATATATATATATATATATATATATATATATATATATATATATATATATATATATATATATATATATATATGCATATATCGTATGTTCGAATGATGGAGCGTTCGACTGGTAACCCGAAAGTATCGAGTACATATGTACATATATACATATATATGTATGTGTATCGATACATATGTATCGAAAGAGTAAGAGAGAGAGAGATGTGTATATCACACATATATTTTACAATATAACTAATTAAATGATCAATTCTGTTGTGTTACATAACTAATTATAATTGGAATTATTTGAAGAGAGTATTGATCAGTCCGAGACTTGATTTACCTGAAGGTTATGTCACTGCTACCGGTGTGTCTCGGTAAATAGCCCACACGCCGGTCCACGCCCACATCGTTAGCGACGCTGTGTATTTCTGTGAGGCGGTCGATGCATTTTTAAATGTTAGATATTCGGAGACTCCATGGTACCATCTGTCTATTATCAGCTGTGTTACAATACTTCATCTGACTTGAGCATTATTTGTTAAGTCAGGCAGAATGTGATATAGAATAGAAAACAAGCGTTTTTTTTTTACATGTTTGTATGCTACAAGCGCCCTTTTGTTTTGCTAGGCATTTCCCTTCCTCCGACGCTGTGCAAGTCCATTTCCTGGTAACCGAACTGCTGACTTTAGAGCAAGCAAGCCTGCTCTATCGCCTAGCCACACGGTTCCGCATTCGTTGTTACTATGACTCAGAACAAAACTATAAAATGTCTCAGATTCGATTGTAACCGAAATCAGGATTTACATTTCTGTGTACACGTATTACACATTTTGGAGACTTAATCGTCAATAGAGCTCGAAGCATAATTTTTTAAATGGTAAAGTTTAGGAGATTAGATACTAATTGAATAAGGAGTTTTCTAACTATTATAATTTTGGTGACGAAACTTTGGGACTTTTATGGTTGTTAACATTTCGGATACTCAATAATACGAAACCGTTGAAAACTTATTAAAATTTCAGAATCGATGGTGTTCTAGACTTTTAAAAATTTAAAATTTCGGAGACTCGATGGTACTGTAACTTTGGACTTTTCTTCTTGTTAAATTTGGGAATATCGATAAAAGGAATCTTTAGCCCTTCCTTTGTTATTTAAATTTTGGAGACTCGTTAGCGCATTAGATTGACTTAAATTTTAAAATTTCGGAGACTCGGTGGTACTGTAACTTTGGACTTTTCTTCTTGTTAAATTTGAGAATATCGATAAAACGAAACTTTAGCACTTCTCTTGTTATTTAAATTTTGGAGCGCACTAGATTTACTTAAATTTTAAAATTTCGGAGACTCGATGGTACTGGAACTCGGAATTGGTGCGACACGGTTCTGTTTTCTGGGGATGTTGCTTCCTGAGGCGTTGGTGTCGTTGGTCAGGAACCTTGTGGTGATGAAGTTCTCTGGCGCCAGGTACACTGCGGCGTAGATCTTTGGCGCGTACAGAAAGATGATCGCCACTGAGTGGTTTAGTAGTAGAGTAACGGAGAGGACGAGAACACGGACGAAATCTCGGCTAGCCGTGAAGTAGGTGGTGATGAAAGCCAGCCAGATGATGAGTGTGGTGGAGACGCACATGGAGATGAAGCGCGACTCGTTAAAGTTGTCGGGGAGTTTGCGGGTTTTGAAGGCGAAGACGGAGCACAAGACGATGAGAACGAGGTTGTAGACTAGGAAGGAGGTCAGGCCCGGCAGGGTCATGTGACAGGAAAGCTCGACGAATTTCTCGGTGGCGATTGGTTGAGTTTTACGTGACGTAGGTTTGTAGACGGCGTAGATGTAGAGGCAGATGATGATCTGGAGTAGAATAAATTAACATATGATTAGTTGTGTTATTGAACAATGTGTTAAACTAATTTAAGTGTAGAGGTAAAGAAAAATGGATTAAAAGTCATGTCTATATCCCGAGTTGCCATTCCCTGTTGATTCATATAAGAATATTCGAGAATGTTTAGGGGAGATCACTCCCGGTTTATTTTTCCACAAAAAGGATAAAATTATAGTATCTTATCACACATGTTCATAATCTTATCGCGGTATCTCACTCACTCATACAAGCAACACATCGGAAAATCGGAAAACAATATTATGTGCGCTATACGGTGTTCTCAGTCTTCAAAGACTGAGGGCATAAGTACTAGAGACGGATAGACAGAGAGGCTAGACGCAGTGGCGTTGCTAGGTCGCGTGTCACCCGGTGCGGCACTTCGTGGTGTCACCCCCCCCCCCCCCTTCAAAAAATAAAGTATATATATAAATATATATATATATATATATATATATATATATATATATATATATATATATATATATATATATATATATATATATATATATATATATATATATGTGTGTGTGTGTGTATGTGTTTTTGTGTCTGTGTGTGTGTGTGTGTCGCCTAGATAGGCATATAATTTTAATATATGCCACATAATACGCATACATTTATGTGTAAAAGCTTTAATTACTGCAGTAACGATGTTTATCCAAAGTCTGTTAATAATACGCTTTGATGTAGCGTTGTGTTCTCTATAGCTAGCACGTTTACGTCATGGTGTCACCCCCACCCTTTTTTAATAATTGTCAAGTTGTACTTAAAAGACTATTTAAATTTAATGAATCATTAACGGCACTGGCAAATTTGCAATTTTTTTTGCCGTGGTGTCACCCCCTAAAATCGTGTCACCCGGTGCGGTCCGCAACCCACCCCCGTCCCGCGTTCGCTACGCCTCTGGCTAGACGGAGTACTAAACATGGATAGACAAAGTACTAACAGAACCAAGACGGAGTACTAAAGATGAATAGACTAAGTTATTAGGCGTGCAGACACGTATTTTTGTTATTTTTTACATCAAAAAAAAAAAAAAAAAAAAAAAAAAAAGAAAAAAACACACCAACCAGAAGATATAAAACCACAGCAGAAAAAAAAGCCATAAAATGTAAATCTACTGCACGATGACCCTACATTAGAACCAGACCGAGTCAAGAACATTCTTGAGACAGCTGATAAACTCCTGCATGCAAATCTTTTTTTTTTTCTAGTTAACAATTTTATTTTACAAATTTTTAACATTATTTAAAAAAAATGACTTTTACAAAAGAAATTAAATATCACCCAACTTATTATATATATTTTTTTTCAAATTTTTTGTTTACAGATTAACCGCCTTCAACAAGATAGATCTATAAATTATTGGAAATATTTTTGCAAATGCAAAAATATGTCGTCACACTCTCTAAGCAGTCCCCCCAACTGTTTAGTATATATATATATATATATATATATATATATATATATATATATATATATATATATATATATATATATATATAAATGCCATATACACTTGTAAGTATGTGCATACGCATGTGTATATGTATTTAGATATCTTTTTTTAAATCAGCGTTTCTTACAGGCTTCTCTTGCGGGGGGGGGGGGGGGGTTAGGGAGGCCTCAAAATGTGCCATTGTTGCAAGCCAATCAATTATATTGATCTGTTGCTCGCTTTTTATTGCCTGTTGATAAAATAATAAATTATAATATTTTTAATTTTCATGTGTTCATTACAAAAACTCTTATTTTCTGCCAATGATCACAATATTTGAAGATGTATTAATTTGTATTGGTATTTCGAATAAATAACATGGAGATAGTATAATAGTAAAATTGATAAAATATTAATGTAAACTGGCATTCACTAATGGCCAGTGATGATAACAGTAATAATTATATAGTGGTAAAATAATATTTCATTATACACACATAGCCTTTTTCGTCTTGGAGTTACATATGTTTGCTAATTTAACACATTTTAAAATGAAACGACTGTTGCATTGCTTTCACACACAGATAACAACTTGAACTAATATGTTTATGTTGCAATTAAAAATGTAAAGTCATTACAGTTAAGTCATCATTGTTCGTATATATAAAATATGATTCTCATGCCGAGACATTAAAATCAGATGAGTTGCCCGAGTTACTATAGAATATAGGCAGGGGCGTAGCGAGGGGGGGGGGCGGGGGGTGCGGACCGCACCGGGTGACACCATTTAGGGGGGTGACACCAAGGCAAAAAATAGCAAAATATATAGAGAAAAATTTGAGGGGGGGGTGCAAATCGAAAGTTTGAGGGGGGGGGTGCAAATCGAAAACTTGAAAGTTTGTCCCCGGGAAGGGTCGCAACGCCTCGGGGGGGGGGGGGGGGGGTGACACCATTAAGTGCCGCACCGTGTGACACCCGACCTCGCTACGCCACTGAATATAGGTACAACCATTGATTATAACATAATGTAAATAGATGTTTTGATATCTATTATCTAGGGGAGTCAACTCCTACATAAGTACCAAATGAAACGCTGCTGTAGATTTTAAATGTATGCCAGCTGAGTACACAAAACGTTTCTAAAAAACAAAATTATATTATATAAATTAATTGATAAAAATGCAACATGTTTATAAAATATAATCTATTATTGCCATAAAGGTATGTAAGTACAAATAGCGAAGCCTTAAAATATAAGCACATGTACTACTTATATCAGAGAAAATTTCAGTGTTATCGGCAATCATCACTTCTTGCAGTTTTTAGAAAGCCACTAACATTATTTTTCCAATATTCTGGTATTTTATTAGAAATAAGTAAATAAATTTAATTGTTTATTTAAAATAAATACCGTTCAATATGAACTAATATTGATTGATAGAACACAAAAAAGTGTTTTAGCTAGCTATGCTATGATTAAGTTAGTTATCAAATAATATAACTATAGGACAATCCCAATCCACTTTAGAAGCCAATAACTTAGTTTTTTCTTTCTTTACGGACACCACTGACATTGAAATAGTTATGTTAGAATAAAAAAAAAAAAACCCTTAAATCAACTTTTTCATACCAATAATTAAAAACTACCAATTTCTCTAATGAAATTTATTTATACGGCTGTACTGATAAAATAATCTTATCAATATTCTTTGCATTGGAAAACAAAGCAAGCTAATTAACGATGAAATAACTAGTTTAATTAAACCAGGATCTAAACGACCTTGCTAAGAAAGATTGTGTTTGGTCATGCGTAGCGACAAATCACCTGTTAGGTTTTCATCACAACCCCCAGGTGTAGGCTCCGTTAGACGCCAATTGGGGACTTAATGAAGGGGAAACAACTACCGACGAATCCCAGACATCATCTCGTGATTCAGTCCCCTGATTTTTTTTTTTTTTTTTTTTTTTTGAGAAACGGTGCAGGGATATACAAAAATCAATCTAAGTAATAATGCGTTTACCGACAGTTCGAGGTTGTAATTAGTTTTTATCGACTAATTGGAACAAGTTAGTTAGCAGGTAATAATGAATATAAGGCTTTAGGCGTGAGGCTAAGAAGTTTCCAAAACAAGCCGATTAGATCCTTGTTTTTCTTCTTAAACCTTCATGAACTTAAAGATCTGATGTGTTTTATGCTTTGACAACTTCGAGTTTTGATAAAATGGCCGATTTAATTAACTTGCCGTTTTGGGAGTTGACATTGTGACAGGTCTGACCTTTTGATGGATTTCACGTTTAGTAGGTCGCAGGTTTTGATTGATTTTACGTGTTGGTATACTTGATGTTTCGATAGACTTGATGTTTAGATAGTCTTGATGTTTGGATAGTCTTGATGTTTGGATAGACTTGATGTTTTGGATAGACTTGATGTTTGGACAGACTTGATGTTTGGATAGACTTGATGTTTGGATAGTCTTGATGTTTGGATAGACTTGATGTTTGGATAGACTTGATGTTTGGATAGACTTGATGTTTGGATAGACTTGATATTTGGATAGACTTGATGTTTGGACAGTCTTGATGTTTGGATAGACTTGATGTTTGGATAGACTTGATGTTTGGATAGACTTGATGTTTGGATAGACTTGATGTTTGTATAGACTTGATATTTGAATAGACTTGATATTTGGATAGACTTGATATTTATATATACTTGATATTTGGATAAACTTGATGTTTTAAAAGACTTAACGTCTTCTGGGACTTCATGCTTCGATAAACATGATATTCATATATTCACACACACACATGCACAGACGCACACACTCACGCGCATACACACATCCAAACACACACACATATATATATATATATATATATATATATATATATATATATATATATATATATACCATTTAATTCTTAATTTTTCAAACCTAATGCTGGCATCCTTTCAGGGGCGGGTTGCATCAGACTAAACATGTGCACCTTTCCCACACTACAATGGACAGTACTGTTCCATTCGATTAATTTAATTAACTCGCAATCAGTAGAACTCATTAGCAAAAAACAATCGAGTTTAATATGCTGTCGTAGTAAAAGTTCAGAACATGAGCTTGGTATAGATAAGTCAACCGTGGCTGTAGTGCAAGACAACACACTGGTGCCATGACAACAACATACTGGTGCCATGACAACAACACACTGGTACCATGACAACACACTGGTGCCATGACAACAACACACTGGTGCCATGACAACACACTGGTGCCATGACAACAACACACTGGTGCCATGACAATAACACACCCTTACCATAACAACACACTGGTGCCAAGACAACACACTGGTGCCATGACAACAACACACTGGTGCCATGACAACAACACACTGGTGCCATGACAACAACACACTGGTGCCATGACAATAACACACTGGTACCATGACAACAAAACTGGTGCCATGACAACAACACACTGGTGTCATGACAACAACACACTGGTGCCATGACAATAACACACTGGTACCATG